GATTTTTAATGGTTTTTTAAAATGCTGATTTTTTTCATTTGCTTAGTTAAGAAATTTATTTCCCTTAAGTCAGTCTTCTTCTATTAAATTGGAAGCACTTTAAGGGAAGAAGCCGTCTTAGATTTCTCAGCAGTTAGCACGAAGGTAGGCATTTCAACTTTTATGTACTCTCACCACCAGCTGACTAAATTGGAAATTTTGTGTCACTTGTTACTGTGTGGTTTCTCTCTCCTAATCTGATTCTGAGAGATAGAACACTTCACCCATCATAATCAATAACCAAACCCTATAGACTTTACTTTCATGCTTTTTCTATAAAATGTCACAATTTACTTGTTAGAAATTACCCCTTCCCTTTCCATGCCTCCTACTATTTTAAGGGCCTATTTAGCCAGGGCGGCTTCATCTCGGTTGAACAGCCATTTTGTTGCTTATGCAGTAAAACTTAAACTGACCCTGCCCCGCCCCCCCAGGGGAACTTACTTAAAAGCAAGTCGGGGAAACCGTAGCATTCTACTGGTCGACCAGTCCCTGATAACAGAGCCCAAATACAAGGGCGGGTCAGGTCAGGTGGAGACAACAGAGCCCGAATGGGGGGATGAGTCAGGCCAGGTGGAGACATCCAATCAGTGGAGCACGCATACTGTCTCCCTAGCTACCAAGGAGTGTGGGCCCCACCTTTTGGGCAACTTTTGGGCGCCAATTCTGACCAAGGTGATAGGCTAGTTCAAATAGCTACTATGGGGTGAATTGTAATTCAATTGGCCACCCGTGTGTGACCTAGCATGACTGTGCAGCTTTCTCTGTGTGTTGCAATCTCATTGGCCACCTGTGTGTGGCCAGGCTCAACCACATGGCCTTTGCTCTATAAAAGTTAGTCTGTGAAGCTGGGGGGTGGCGGGGTCCTGCTCTCTGTAAAGGCGGCCCCAAACGGTTGGTTTGATTCTCGATGCTTGGCACGAAATAAAGCTTTGCTTGACCTTCACTTTGTATCAGTCTCGTTCCTTTGACCACGGACCTAACACTATTACCTTATCTGGCACCCACATTATCTTGTCTGAACCATGACACATCCAATTGGTTTTTCCATCATCAAATCAATACTTACACAGTATGCCAGCTCAAGGTTTATGTTGCTGTGTAAAATTAAAATGGTATGGATTTAACAATAGGTACCATTTATTAAGTATGAACTATGTGCTAGGCATTGCATTAAATGCTTAGCCAATATTCTCCATTTTTACAGTTTCTAAGATTTCCCCCCCCCCAGGGGGGAGGGGCAGAAAGAGAAGGGAGAGAGCACCTCAAGCACACTCTGCCCAGCAAAGAGCCCAAGGTCAATCCACAACCCTGAGATCATGACCTGAGCCAAAATCAAGACTTGGACACTTAATCAACTGAGCCACCCAGGCACCCTTACCTACACTAAGTTTAAAAAAAAATTTTTTTTAGTAACAGCTTTATGAAGATCTAGTCCACTCAGTACAAGTCAAGGGTTTTTAATATATTCAGAGCTATATCACCACCAGAATAAATTTTAGAACATTTACATTACCTCCAAAATAAAACCACACCCTTAACCCATTACCTCAATTCCCTCATCCCCCTCATCCATATGCTGCCACTAATCTACTTTGGCTTCATAGATTTGTCTATTCTAGACATTTCATATAAATGTATTCATATATTATGTGGTGTTTGTGACTTCTTCCACTTAACATGAACATCCACAAACATGTTTTCAAGGTTCATCCATGTTGTAGCTTGAATCAGTAATTCCTTTCTAAGGCCAATATTTCATTACATGGATATACTACATTTTATTTACCCATTCATAAGTTGATGGATATTTGGGTTTTTATTTGTTGACTATTGTGAATAATGCAGCTATGATCATTTGTGTACATGGTTTCATTTCTCATGGGACATACCAAGGAGGATAATGGCTGGATCAAATGGTAACTCAATGTTTAACTTCTTGAGTAACTGCCAGACTGTATTCCAAAATGGCTGCATCATTTTATATCCCCACCAAGAGTGTATGAGGGTTAAATTGCTTTACATCACCAAAACTTCTCTTTTTAATTATCATTGTTTTAATGGATGAAGTGCTGTTTCATTATTGTTTTGACTTTTATTTCCTGATGACTAAAGATGTTAAGCACCTTTTCATGTGCTTATTGATCATTTGTATATCTTCTTTGGGGAACTATCCAAATATTTGCCTATTTTGTAACTGGATTTTTTGTTCTTTTATTGTTAAGTTGTGACTGTTCTTTAATATATATTCTGGATATAAGTCCATTATCAGATGTGTGGTTTACTAATATTTTCTTACATTCTTTTAACTTTCTTGATGGTGTCCTTTCAATAGTTTTTAAATTTGATAAAGTCTAATTTATCTATTTTTATTTTGGTTGCTTGTAGGTTTGATATCATATTTAATAAACCATTGCCCAATCCAGCTTTACCACACAGATTTACCTTTATGTTTTCATCTACGAGTTGAATAGTTTTAGGTCTTTGATCCATTTTGAGTTAATTTTTGTGTGTTGTGTGTGTGTTGCGGGGGGGGAATCCAACTTCAGTTGGACTGGAGTTAGTTACTGACTAGTTAGTTAGATGCTTAGATGCTTAATGACTGAGCCACCCAGGCACCCCAGGATAAACTTTTTAATATTATAATTTCACTGAATTGAAAACCAACTTCAACTAACCAACTAAGTAACTGATGTTAACATCAGTTAGTTGGTTAGTATGCTATAAATTTTTCAGTTGCCATTGAGAGAACTCAGTTCTCTAACTAAGAAGAAATTCTTAGTTAGAACTTAGGGTTCAACTTCCTCCTTTTGCATGTGGAATCCTGTTGTTCCAGCACCAGCTGTTAAAAAGTCTGTTCTTTTCCCATTGAGTTGTTTTATTACTCTTGTCAAAAATCAATTGTGCATAAATGTTATTTCTTGCTTCTCAATTTATTTCTTGCATATCAATTTGATGTCATTGATCTATAGGTCTATCCTAGGCAAGTACCACACTGTCTTGATTACCATTGTTTTGTAGTAAACTTTGCAATTGAAATGTGTGAGTCCTCCAACTTTGCAAACATTTTTACTTAACTCTCTCTTTTTTTTTTTTTTTTAAGGTAGGCTCCATGCCCAGTGTAGAACCCAACATGGGGCTCAATCCCACAACCCTGAGATCATGACCTGAGCCAAAATCAACAGTCAGACATTTAACCAATTGAACCACCCAGGTACCCCAGAACACATGAATTCTAACATTACCCCTATCAGACTGGGCAATAAGAATGTATGTGTGTGTTAAGGTTAGGGATGGGAGGCTGAGGTCATGGCAAGGCTGTAGGAACGAATACTTAAGGAATATCCTAATTTTGAGAATGTGGTAGGAGAAGGATGGCATGAGATATGATGTGGCAGAGTAGCAGGCCCAAACAGAGAGCTGGTGTTAATCACTCCTTTGGCAAGAGAGAAACCTCCAGTCTTGAGGACAAGTAATACTTGCCAGTGAATAGGACATAGGACAAAACAAGTAACTTAAGAAGCCCCAAACTGAGTTTATTGTGGTATAAACTAGGTAATAACAAATAACTCCAGTTTATTCAACTAAAGTCCAATAGACCCTGGGATATTTACTTTTAATTTTTTGAAAGATTTATTTATTTTAGAGAGTACAAGCGGCAGGGGTAGAGGGAGAGGGAGAGAGAATATCAAGCAGATTCTCCCTGAGCATGGAGCCCAATGCAGGGATCAATCCCATGACCCTGAAATTGTGACCAGAGCAGAGTTTATGCTCAAGAGTGAGAAACTCAACAATGACTGCACACCCAGGTGCTCCTACCCTGGAATATTTAAATACAACACAAGGCAAAAAGCTGCTCTAGGGCTAGAAGGCCCCAAGCAAGAAGAAAATAAGATATTTACTTAGAAAAAGCCAGGAAATAGAACAATATGCCAATCCTCACAACCTCTCCCATGTTCCCGGCCACATCTCTATTGCCTATTCTCATACCACTTCAAGTCATTAACACCTCTCCATTTTTCAGCCCAGATTGCTGGATAAGAAAGTCTTTTTCCAGAAAAAAGAAGGTGCCATTCTTTTCCTTGGCAGCCTCTGATTCAAGTCAAAAGGTACAACTTTCTCACAAAGGAAAATGTCAGGAATTCTAGGCTCTGGAGAGATACTAGGGCTTCTTGCCACACATTAAATCTAGAATCCTGTCTCTGGAAGCTACTTGTGGCTAATCTCTTAGAAAAGAGTCAAATCATATAGGAACTCCCATTCAGCTTAGACTCTTTACCTAGACAAGTTGCCAAGGTTTAAAATATAGTGGATTTCAAGGTTGGCAACAACCTGACGTCAGCAGGGTACTTTCATCACAACCTTCCAATTTTCTAAAAGTCCACTCAGGATCTGCCTCAGCTATTTAAACCCCACCATCTACTTTCTTTTCCAGTTGCCTCCTATCCAGCTGGCAGGAACTTCCAAGAAACATGATATAGTAGGCACTGCAGTATACTGGTTGCTTGTTGGGGTTGGAATAGACCTGTTCAGGTTTGAGGGACGCGAAAGGATTAGCTCCATAGGCAGTGATGTGTGTATCCAGGTCCACCAGAATCTGCAAAGAAGCCGCCAACTCCTGATGGCTATAGGAGACAGATTTTAAAAAAGAGAGAGGAAAAAAGAAATTGCTCTGCTAATCCTGAGAGACATAGGAGAGAAATTCCTCAGAACTTGATACTTCTGGACTCAGTAATCCCCCAAATTACCTAAGGCTAGACAGGCCAGGGTATCCTTCTCTCCCAAATGTCTCACTCAGTACCTGATTAACTAGCATAGGACTTGGTTCCAAGGGGATTAGAAAAGAAGAAAATCCTCACCAGAAGACAGAAGATGAGGAAGGGGGAGAGAAATGAGCTCATCTATACAGAGAGAGGTATGAGTGAGGGAGGGAGGTATCACAAATAGGAAGAGGTTGGAACCTGTAAACAGTGATCAATGTAGGGATCTCATAATCACGAAGCAGCAGGAGGGTGGGCAGCCAAGCCTCCATCAAATCTGGGGAAGCATGGAAACCTATGGGGAAAAAAATAACAGAAATGGGTATAGAGAGGAGAAAGGCTGAGGTAGACCCTAAGCAATTTACTTTTTTGTGTCCACCCCTCCCTTCACCTTGCTCACCTCCAGTGCTCATTTACCACCACCATCCACCCCAGGTTCTGCAATGGAAAATTCTGAACCAAGGTATAGCACGTATGGCTAATGATCAACCAAGGTTGTCATCATAGTATGTTTAATCTGACCAAATGAATGGGGTTCCAAATAGAGGAGATATAAGAATCAGGATGGAAAATTCCCTGAAAAGCCAACCAGTATTCCCCTGAATGACTCTTACCTGGATGGAATGCCACCACCAAATCTGGATGGGCTATCTGTCCAGTCTCTACCTGTTCCTCCCAGAAGTCATGATAGAGGCCCCTATGGCCACTAAGTTGAACTGTGCCAGGTTCCAGGGGGGAAGTTGAGGTGCTCTGTGTAAAGTCAGCAGATACGTCTATACCCACCATGATCACACGGAGGCCTAGGTGTCCAGGAAACATGTAGCCAAGCTCATCATAGTCCCCAGGGCGTGTGAGGAATGTCTCCACATGGGAAGCACCAACCACATGCACTGTGCTTCCCCCAGTCTTCCCAATATCTATCCCCAAGGCCCGAAGCCCAAGGCCCAGTGTCAAGGGCCGTGATAGGGCATCTGTCAGCAGCCGCTTCAAAGAGCCCTGCAGGACATCTGGGTCTGGCCTTGGACGTCCTACGTTGGCCCACAGGGTGTTCATGGCATGACTACCTAGTACAGCATCCAGTGTAGCTTCTAGCTGTAAATGCCGCATAGAAAACCAGGTATCCCAGCCCTGTACAACTTCAGCCACACATGGCCAAGGTCCTGAAGGTAGGACAAAAGCACCTGTAGAAAGAAGGGATAAGAGTGACCTAATCCTTTCCTGGCTTCAATATTCTTTCCAAAATTTACTCTTCCTACTTGTGACCAGGACTGCCCCACTGAGTTTCTCATGTTTCCCCCATAACAACATGCTTTCATATCTTTTTCCAAGTACAACCAACTATGACTGCTATGGCAGAGTTCTCTAGCACCACCACTTCACCTGTGACTAGAAGCCATTCCATGAGACGGTCCACAGCTACCAGACGCAGCTCTTGACAAACCTTCCTGTGCTCTGGCCAGTCTGACTTCTGGCACTCTGGACCACAGTAATAGACATTTCTGCACCTGAAAGATTAGCCCCAGAAATAGATGTTCCTATGCCTCAAAGGTGATTGGGGGATGTCTAGGGAAGGGAATTGACACTTCCTGTATCTAGGAAGAAAGATCACTGAGTAGGAAAGTTATGGAGAGGAGTTAGAGCTGATGCACCAATTTTGGAGATTACATTTGGCAGAGGAGGCATGAGAGACTAGGAATGTAATTATTCTCTTGGGTCAGAGTACACCTCAGTCTGTATCTGGAACAACTCACTTTTTACATCCCTGACAGAAAAAAAAAAACATTAGGAGTTTGCAGCTGCCCTTTTATCACAGGTGTGGCTCAACCCCAACCTTCCCAGAACCGACAGGATCTTACCCATTCAATACTCAAGAGGAGGGAAGTGGAGAAAATTATACAGTAGATTATACAGATTATTCCCTTCTCCACAGGGAAAATGTTCTAAGACTCCAGTGGATGCCTGAACTTATGGATAGTACCAACCCTATATATTCTATGTATTTTCCTGCATATACATACCTATGATAAAGTTTATAAATTAGGCACAGTAAAAGATTAATGACAATAACATAATAAAACAATTATACTACAATAAATGTTATATGAATGTGGTCTTTCTCTCAAAGTATCTTATTGTACTATACTGACCCTTCTTCTTGTGATGTGAGATGATAAAATGCCTAAAATGCCTTCAACATGGTAAGATGAAGTGAGGTGAATGATATAGGTGCTGTGACTCAGCATTACACTATTAACTTTGTGACAATAGCCAGAGGAGGTCATCTGCTTCCAGACTGTGGTTGACCACGCGTAACTGAAACCGTAGAACTTGAAACTGCGCATAAGGGGGACTACTGTACCATTGTCTGACTTCCCCATAATACCCAAAATAAACAGGAGCCCAGTCCTTTTCTAATTTTTCTGTGGTCCGGATCCCACAAAATGAGGAGTGAGCCCAAAGTTATTCTGAAAACTCTTAGACCTTTCCTCCTGCAATGAAGTCTTAGAATAGGATAATTTCTGGATGACTTTCCTATTAGCCCCCAACTAGTCACCTCTTGCACTGCCGCAGGACCTTGGAGTCTGAAAGGCCACTAGGAAGAGCTCTACAGTGAGCACAGAATTGGAATGTGTCCTCCATCTTCTGGAACATTTCTCGAAGGCATCGAAATCCAAAGCCTGATACAGAAGCACCCCCATCTAGCACCAACCTGCAGAAATGGCATGGAGAAGTGGCAATAGGAAAAAGAGTATCTCCAGAATCATTCATGACCTATACCTTGCCTCCTATATATTTCCATCTATTCCCACTATTTCTCACATGAGCATATTATATTTCTTCTATAGTAATAAAACTTGCAAAAGTCAGGATGAGAAACTCCCTCATTGTAAATGCTCCATATTCCCCAAGTTCTATTCCCTTCTTGCTTTCTGAAATCACTTCTCCCAGAGATAATGTATTATTCTTCCACAGAGCTAGAAACTCACTTGTATTCTTCATAGCTTTTCATGTTTAGCTTTTGAAGGATTAGCTGGGATAGGCCAGGAACATTATTCTCCAAGGAGAAGAAGCCAAGTGCATCAATGCTAGGGTCAGGTTTTGAGAGGGTCAGAGGCACAGAGGTCACAACTGTGGGTGGGGTCACAACCATGGGAGTCACCGATGAAGGGGGTTTCTTGTGCCTTCGTTGCCGGGATCTTGGAGCCATGGCTGTCCACTGATACCTGGGACTATATGTAGAACAGATATAGAAGGAAATTTTGCAAGCTAGACAAGTACAATGTGTTTTCATATGTTTGACCTTTCAATTTTCATTACAGTCTCTCAGACCTAGCTATCAGTAAGATTTACTTAGGATCTACTGATGATTGATCATCACAGGCAGTTATAAAAAACAGGAGGAAAATAATTGTATATCAACATAATTATATATGTATCACATATGAAGTTCTATATGAAATATAAACTATGTATATAAGTAAATGCATAGAAAAAGGTCTGGCAGGGCTCATAAAAAACCAGTAACAGGGGCGCCTGGGTGGCTCAGTTGGTTAAGCGACTGCTTTCGGCTCAGTTCATGATCCTGGAGTCCTGGGATCAAGTTCCACATTGGGCTCCCTGCTCAGCAGCGAGTCTGCTTCTCCCGCTGACCTCTCTCCTCTCATGCTTTCTCTCTCTCTCAAATAAATAAATAAAATCTTAAAAACAAACAAACCAACCAACCCAATAACAATGATTAACTCAGAGGGAAAGAAGTAATGGGATAGGAACTGGGTTAATCAAAAGGAACTTTAGACTTATCTGTAATATTTGACTCTTGAATACTAAGAATATATTCATATATTATTAATGCATTGAAAAAATCAACTTAAGGGAGGAAAAAGCAACAGAAATTTTGGTTGTTCAAAACTACCAACTATTTGGAGAATCAGTCAACCTCACCTAGCTAGGGAAATAAAACATTCATTTTAGAAGACCTATCATCACATTTTTAAGCACTCAACCCAGAAGTAGAAATTAAATGCAATACAAAATCAGCACCACAATACTAAGATTTATGTAGTCAAAGCAAGTTATGCAAATTATGAGGAAAATTTCCTAAAGAACTGAGCTTTAAAGTAGAACTAATCCCATTATCTACCCACTACCTAGGAGGAACTCTGATATTCTCCTTTCCAGCCTCGTCTTCTCCCATTCCTTCCCAAAGGAATGAGTAAACAAAAGGAACTATATTGGGAAAAATAAAAACATCCATTCATTCAAAAAATATTTATTGCTAAACACATATAATCATTTATAAAATATTATAATGGAAACATATGCAAAATATACTTAATATGTAAATGTCTTAAAGAGGGATCAAATGTAAATTATAATATAAGGCAGTATATAAATCCTGTAAGAAAAGTGAAACTAAAGCAGATCAGAAGGAAAGAGTCTCCTCAGTTAGTTAGCTGTAGACGACTTTATAAAGCATAGAGCAGTCAGAACAGACCCATTAATGATGGTAATACTTTGAATAAATGGAGACAGAAAAAGGAATTCTAAGCACAGAGAAGAGCATGAGCACAGAACTGTAGATGGGAACACTCTAGGAATTAATGAAATAGGATGGTATGAGTTTGGTTATTAAGTATGACATCAATGGAAGAACTAAAACTATAAAGTTTTAGAAGAACACATAGGGAAAAGTGTCATAATATGGATTTGGCAATTTCTCGGATAGGACACCATCAAAAGAAATGAAGTGCTGATAATATGCTATAATGTGGGTGAACCTCAAAAACATTATGCTAACTGAAAGCCAGACACAAAAGATCATACATGATTCCATTTATATGAAATATTGAGAAAAGGTAAATCCAAAGAGAAAGCAGATTCACGGCTGCCAGGAGCTAGATGGAAGAGGGAGCGATGGGGAGTAACTGTTAAATGGTTATAGGTTTTTCTTTTGGGATGGTGAAAATGTTTTGGAACTAGATAGAAGTCGTGGTTGCGTAACAATGTGAATGTATGACATAACATGCTCATTTTAAAAGGATTAATTTTATGTTATGTGAATTTCACCTCAATTAAAAAATAAAAAAAGGTATCTGTAGAGATTGAGAAGCTAAAAAATAATTTTTAAAGAGATTTTATTTGTCAGAGAAAGATAGTGTGCGTGCAAGTGCCTGCCCAAGCAGAGGGAGCGGTAGGCAGAAGAAGCAGGCTCCCCGCTGAGCAAGGAGCCCAATGCAGGACTCAGTCCCAGGACCCTGAAATCATAACCACAAGGCAGACACTTAACCAACTCAGCCACCCAGGCATCTCGGGGAAGCTAAAAAATTATTAACCCTCAGATTAACTGCCTCTAAGGACAGGAAAATGGCAGAGGATAAAAATGCTAACAGTGATTGGTTTTATTGTGAATAAGGTAACTATTAAAGTACAAATCAGGGATCAGGTTTTGTTCCAAAAATAGTCTGACATTTAATCCTTCTGGACCAGATCCGTAAGGGAAAAAACTCCCAAGAATCATCATTCAGCTGAGGTGTAAGTGGCAGAACAAACAAAAACTTCCCAGAATCACCCAGTACACCTGAAACTAATATAACACTGTATGTTAACTAACTGGAATTAAAATGAAAACTTTAAAAAAATCTATTATTTTACAACATGGCTCTTGCAAACTGTTGTCCTTACTTAATGAGGGAACTAATCTGTATTTTCCTTTGTACTTCTCTCTCATCCTCTCACTATACCCCTGTAATCTCTCCCCTCATCCCACAGATAAATGGATGTTTTCAGAGTCTACAGAACAGGAATAGCTAAGCTCATCTGCATATATCATCTACATTCTCGCCAATACAGAAGAAATTAGACCTCAAGGTGATAGATTATTTTAAGATTTAAGGGTCATGTCCCTTTACTAAAGGATGCCTTCACACCTGAGTACCCCATTTCCAACAACTGACCTGACTCTTCCTCCACTTTCAAAAAATATACACTTTATTTCACTTATCTATCTATTCTATCTATCTATCTATCTATCTATCTATCTATCTATATTTTTAAGAGAGCAAGCCTGTAGAGCAGCCAGGGAGGGGCAAAGGGAGAGGGAGAGAATTTTGAGCAGACCCCACACTCAGTGCAGAGCCCAACTTGAAGCTCAATCTTGTAACCCCAAGATCATGACCTGAGCTGAAATTAAGAGTTGAATGTTCAACTGACAAAGTCACCCAGGTGCCCCTTCTTTCCATTTTTAATCACTACACATACTCATCCAATTTCCAAAATCACTGCAACTTGAAAAGCATTCCTCTGCTCTAGCTACCCGGCCTCTTTAGGCAAGATACCTTCTTGAAACTTGAAAGAATGGATTCATCTTTCTTGAAAGATATAGAGAAAAATTATCTTTGATTTGAGGTAGATCAAGAGTCTAAAATCCCAGGAGTAATAATAAATATATATTCCTGATGTTCAACTAGCCTTTGTGCTGCAATGGAAGCCAATTAAGACCAGAAATGTACTTCCTAACTTAATCTGCCTTTCCAAAGATGTCTTTCTCCAATGGAAGATTAACTCTTGGCTCTCTGGGGGTTGGCTGAACTGGCTGGGAAGTGCAGGGATCAGTTTGGGGAGGAGTGGTGGTGATGAATCCTTGATAGTTTCCTCTGTGTCTAGAGAAGGTTAATGATACAAATGAACTAAACTTCTGGGAAGAAGGTAGAGTAAGGTAAGGTAAGAAGGTGCATTTGTATCTACATGAGGTTCATGTCTGAGTTTGTGTACCCTAGGACCAGACCCAGCTTCCCTGGTTCTAACTTTCCTGCAATAAGCCCCAGGATCCTCCAAGTTTGAGGGGAGGGAACAGGACTGAGAGAAATGAAGGCAAAAAAAACAGATAAAACAGGGGAAAGCTGGAAGGAATTATATATAATAAGCTTTCAGAATTTTCCAGAGATCCTCACCTACAAGGAATCACTTCAACTTTTTTTCTAGCCATCCCCAATAACTTGGGCTCTAATTTATTCCCGTAAGACAGAAAACACCAACACTAAGGACTAAAGAGGAGACAGTCTGCACAGTCTAGAAAAACTCTTATCTTTCATTTCCAAATTCCCTCCAATATTAGCCTATTCCCAGACCAGGTCTCCCATTTTTGTCCTTCATCACCAAAAGCTTCAAGTTTCACCCAAACCAGTTAGGACCATTTGATTTTCTCTAATTCACCCTTTGGGGAGGTAGGGAAAGGGGAAATGATTCTAGTCATTGGGGGATCCTATAAGGAGCTGGGAAAGAGAAAAAGGAGGAATATATTAAGAATATTGTTATTATTAAGCACATTCGGCTGCTTAATCAGTGATTAACACTCCCTGGGGTGATAAATGTTTTACTCAACTATAAACTAAGTAAGCAGATGGTTTGATGGAAAAGTAACTTACCCTGCTAAGCCCTCGGCTTCCTTCCTTCTCTCTTTCTTCCAAGTGAAGTAAATGCTTCACCTCCTCCTATCTAGGTTGTGGCTGACTTGCAGCTGTCCCTTCATATCACTTCCCTTTGCAAACTGCTGAAATGCTGAGTCTCTGTGATTCAGTGTGTCCTGCCAACCAGACAGACAACGCTATCCCTAACGAGGTAAGGAGAGACCTGGCCTTCTGCCCGTGGACTTCTCTCCTTCTGACCTTCCTTCTCTGCCAAGAAGGCTAAGAACTCTGTCAACAATCCCAAACTCACCAAAGGCCAGGCAGGCTAAGGAAAGATGAAACCTGTCGCTTCCTGAACCTCTCTCACTAAGGCAGCATTTCTGCTCTCAGTCCAGAGAGTCAGAGAAAAAAAAAAATTAAAACAAAACAAAAACAAAAATCCTGGGATTAGTTCAGAAGTCATTATTTGGTTGGCAAGGTAGTCACTAGCTCAGATCAACAGAATTCCTGGAGTTCTGGATGTCAATCCAGACCCAGGATGAGTTAACCCAAGCCCAAAGTCCCTTTGAGTGTAACAAACACTGCTCAAACACAACTCAACAATGATCAATCTGGGCTTAAACAAAATATAATATCTAAGATAGAAGAATACAAATGGTCATTTAATGGTACAGAAGGAAATCAATTGTAGGGGAAACAATTAATTTGTAAAATTCACTTTCTCTGAAAGGAGAGCAAGATACTTTCTGAGTAAATGTCATCAGGCACACTTCACTTACTTATTTCAAAAGAGGAATAAAGAGAGGAATAGAGTAAACAAAACCAAAATATTATTGCCTAAAAATGCACAATTTCTAGGAACAGAAAATATAAAAGAATCAATTCAAACATCTTATTCCTTCCTACAATGAATGCTGATCCAGGGAACCTGATTACACATTCCAAGCTCCTTTTCACTTATCAAGCTCCAGAGTCTACCCCAAATTATCAGGGCAGTGGTCCTACACAACTGCAAGACCTGACTTTCTGGTCTTTATATCTGGTCCTAGCTATGTCACTTACCTGCCTCTGTGAACATCAGCAAACTGGGGAACACAACAACTTACAGTCAATTTGAGGTCCTGGAATGTGGCAAATCAAAAATTTACATATGAATAGATGCAGAGGATGGATTCTAAAGGAACCCCAAACTGTAGAAATCAACTACACACAGGGAAAGTAGAAGTTAAGTGTTAAGGATACAATGAAACATTACATATTATTCAGAATAGCTGTGGAGGAAAGAAAGTCAGTAGCAATACGCACAAATCCTGAGTAAAACAGGAGTAATTAATTTTAAGCAAAGATTTCAGGCCTATTTCAAATGTAACTGGCAGTACTTTTAAAGGTTGTGAGTTCTGTGAATGATGGCTGAATTGCAGAAGGCATAGGAAGTCAGAGATGGTCTCTTCTAACTCAGAAGTGTCATCTTTGAATATAAAGGGATATAATATATAGAAAAAATTGATAACTGAATATTAATTTATATATTTTACCATCACTACTACTAGCTTTGGTAGACATTCAAATTTACAATTTAGAAAGATCTGAACTTTTCAGTTTGCTTTCATCGTAAGTTACATTTTTTAAAAAAGCCTTAAAATGTTTCTAAGGTTCATGGTGAAACCTTAAAAAACACTTCTATGGTGCACAGTTACGAAGAAGGACTAGAAAGAGGTTCTTACTCAACAATTAGGAAGTGGTCTGTGAGGCACTGGGTGATTTTTCTACCACTCTTACTGTATACCACTTTTCAGCATTCTGTTCCTTTCTCTCACTTTCTTCTTCTTTTTAATCTTTACCATCAACCCATAATTCTTCTAGTTTGTTAATGATGTTTTATGTTTACCCAAGAATCCCAGTGATGGACCTAAGGTCTGAGGAAGTTCCTGGTACCTGATATACTAGTTAAGCTCTTAATTTAGAGATGCAGAGTTTTCATAAAACAGTAACATCCAAAAGAACCTTTAAAGGTATGCAGTGCACAGTAGCTTTAAGGATAGTTCAAGGACTGCTATGTATGCAAGCTGATAATACAGCAACTGCAAGCTGTAATAATCAACAATTTGAGTTCTGTTTGCTACCTGGAATAAGGCAAGTATATACAGTTCAAATTAAATTAATGCTTTGTAATGTGCATCTTTTATAATTATTGTTGAAAACTGTTAAGTCACTATATGATTATATTACAAAATGTTGAGCAACATCCCAATTTCCCTCAATTTGCAAAATTTCATACTTATTTTGATTATGGAAAAGAAAGGAATGTGAAGGCAAGAAAATACAGTATCATGAATATTCTTTCTCTTATTGTTAAAACACCCAATAAATTCCCAATACTACTATAATAAAACTCTACACAGTAACATTTTCTTTCAACTAAAAGTTAAATGAAATAGTGATTTTAAATATTAGATTTAGGAGGCCTATAATAGGCACCCAAAGTACTCTAGTTTTCAGTTATTAATGCTTATGTAAGACAAATGTAACCAAAGTTAAAAAAAAAAGAAAATTTATGAAGACAAGAATTTAATTTATCAAATTACCATGAACCATCCACGAGATAATCTCTGAAGGCTATATCCCAGACCTATTAACAGGATTTTCTGATTTGCATGACATCAAATCAGACTACATGTTCCAAATAAAACCCAACACAGAGATAGGAGCAGCGGCCCATGCATGGAATTTATTGTGTGCTACTGTTTATAAAATACTCGAATAGTCCTGCACATGCATAATATTTCCAACTTAGACAGGAGACCATACAGGGTGCACTTTCTGGCAAACAAAACAATAGATGGTTCCGCTGCCTGGAGCTCTGAGTTGTATTCCAGGGCATGAGGGAAGCAGGCCACCAAAGTAAAGGGAAATACCAAACTACAGTGGCAATCAATACAGGTCAATAATTGTGGAAAAATTAGCACATGGTTCCATTTAGTTTAACCAAGCAGTTCTGTAACTATCAAAAGAAAAGGTTCAACATGCAATCTTGACTTTTATGCTTCCACTAACATCTGAATGATTGAACAGAACCATTGCTTCTATGCTGCATTGCTTAATCAAAAACACTTCCAGAACATTTTAAAATTTCCTTTGCATCAAAACATAAAAATGATAGAAAGCCAGCAGCAAATCACCCTGGTGGCTATTTAAGCAACTTGAGTACTCACAATAAACTAAAATTTCTCATAACATCTAGGTAACCTATACATGTCGTACCTGTACATCATAGGTCTATATATTAAATATTTGCAAAATGAAAACATGCATACACAAAATACGTCAAGTTTTACAGACATGATTTGAATTAAAATTTACTTTGACAATGTACAAACTTCTTTTAAAGTACCTTAAATGAGTAATTCTGTAATTCTTCATAATTTTGAAATTTAGAGGTTTTCTTCTTAAATCTCTGGGGTGTAAATTTCAAAAGATCTGGGCAAAAAAGATTCTAAATTAGTTTTTGGATTTGTGTTCAAGTAAGAGTATCTGCCTAGAAATAGGTTATGCATTCATGATTGAAAAATACCAAGACTATATTACAGAATTAGCCACATTTAAGAACTATAGACCTGAGGTCAGCATTTGTATAAATGCCAACTGGTTTTCTCAGCATTTTGCCCGTAATTCAAAATACAGCTTAGTAACCTCAGAAATGTATTTTAAGACCATGCTAATTCATCCTTTAAAGACATTTCATGGGGGGGAAAAAAAGTCCACATTAGCTCTTAGGATTGCATTTGAAGTCATGGTTAAAAAACAAAATCTAATTCTACTGAGGGGAAAAGAAATCTCATTTGTAAACTTAAATGTGTGAACCACAAGCATAAATGGAGGTATAGTTGCCCTCCACTGGAAATTGCCCCAAGCCCCTTGCTCACTGCTCTCCACCTTGGCAGCGATGACTCAATCTTATCAGATATCACCACATGTCCCAGGGCCCTCAAGCCTCCATCCAGGAAGGGGGCTGGGGTCTCAAAAAGCACAATGGTTTCTCCAGAGGGACTGTGACATTTACAGTCAGCTTGGCCGACCCCTCCAGATCCTGGGGGTGATCTGTCCATTGGGGCCCGAGATGTGAGAGTCCCTGGGAAGCCGTGGGTCACTGGGCACTATGGTTGCCAGTCCCGTGGTTCTCAGTGGCATGTGCGGTGTTCAGGGAATTGAAACCATCTTGCTGTACAGCATCTTTCCGGGGTGGCATTCTCTCATTGATCCTATCCAAACCCTTTGCCTCTTCAAAACTGCAGATTCTATGTGGTGGAGAGAATCCTCGTATTGCTTAACAAAATGCAAATTTGAAAGTCAGTAATAGAAAAACATTTCTGAGATTTCAAAAACATAATTAATGATTTTTAAGAAGAAAGAAATTAGCTGTATGTAGCAATATTTAAATCTTATTTTAACTGAATACTACCCCCATTCCAGACTTCCCCTTAAAATGTGAAATCTTTAAACCTAAATATAAACACGATAGCTTCATAGATGACAAGTGTTAGCATAGCTTTTTATAAGAGAATTCACAAAAATAACCCTTCCCTGACCCCCAAATTAACTTACAGGCAATGGTCTCAGGGTCTCAGTCTGACTTCTACTATACCAAGTTTCTCCTACCTCAGACCTTAAAATCACCAGTGACTATCACAGTAAGGCAGCAACAAGAGTAAGGGCAAGTGAGGAGGCTAAACAAGGTTAACCTTGACATACAAATCTGTACCAAGGGCTTGGGAGGAGAAAGAGGCAAAGTATGTTAAAATTTAGCAGATCAGAACTATCTTGGAGGTCAAGGTATCATCACCCCAACACCACCAGAATGAAATGAAAAAGGTGGGAAATGCCTCCAGGAATTAGATCTGTATTTGGCTGATAGTAAAAAGTATTCAGTTTCATATTTTTAAGAAATGTCTTCCTTAATTCAATGGCCATTCACTGCATGTTCTTTGGAAACCCAAATCAAAATAAATGACAATCCTCCTCCAATTGTTTTAATTTCTCATTCACTTCATCTGGAATGATGCTTTTTCTACTATTAAACTGTATATACAAAAGATTTCCATACTACTAGTTATAATCTGGTTGCTTTATAATATGTGCAATTCCTGGGACTCAAAGTCTGTGCATGTGAACCAAATAAATGGTTGGGGCAGCAAAGCATTTAGCGATGTTATATCAAGCCAACATATGATATATATGAATAAATATTATCAGCAAACTCTAGGCCAAACAGCAAAAAAATAAATAAAAATCATAGTGACAGCTCCTGTACTCTCAGGTGAATTACTGAAAACGAGTAAAAACCAACTCAAACCTATACCTAGAGGGGGTTTCATTTGGGAAAAAAAATTATCTAAATAGCATAGAAACATGCAAAATGTAGAATAGACCTTTCTTTGCAACTTCAAATGCTATAATAATATAGCATAACATGCTGCACTCTAAAGAATTCAGGAATGGTAAATGCTGGTTGTACATAATACTAGAAAAGGGAAAAACCAGATTATCACTATGGAAATTGGTCCTTGTAATTTAAAAAAAAAAAAAAAGGAAAAGAAAAGAAAGGAAAAGAAAAAAAAAAGGAATGTGACTATTAAACTTGATGAGTCAGTGAGTCTGATTCATCTTGGGCTGTGCAAACTAGGAGTAAAACACACCCATAGGACATTCTCTGATGCCCACCCACACACCACAGATCTCTGCCCAGCGCAAGGACTCTGATCGTACCTTTTTCAGCCTCAATAGCCTCAACTGTGGCTGTACAGAAGTGAGCAGAGGCATGCAAAATGAATGAGAGAGATGAGAAGGGTCATATTGTACAGCAGAAAAGGCAATGATCACGTAAAATATCACAGTATCCCATACTACATCATCATTTACAATTTAACATAAATAGTAACCATATTAGAGAGCCCCATCCAATCCCCCAATTCCTGACACAGCACAGTTTACACACAGCACTATGACAACACTGCTCAGAGCACAGAACACATGGACCTAATATAAACACAGACACCTCAGCACCCATGCAAATGCACTCCAGTATTAATTACCTATTGTGAATTCAGTATTTTGATGGCCTTAGAACTTTTCAACATATTTATTATATCACATCCATCACAATCACAAGGGAATTCTCTATGGTTAAATTATGATGGCAGAATTGTAGCAGAAGAGCAAACAGAAGATTCTCTCCCCTCCCCCATCTAACTGAAACAATTCTCCTTATCAATTGTTCCACAAGATATAAAGTAGAAGGGTCAGTAATGCTTTTCCTTTTGCTTCTAATTCATAAGGCATAGCAAAAGCTGCAGTACGGCCACAAGGAAACTTAAGGGCTATAAACCTGGTGAATTACTCTTAAGCAGAACAGTTCTGTAGCTCTGTTGATTGTGGATAACCTAAAAAGACCTTTCTTGTCTTCCAGGAACTTCCTTTCTATTCTAACATTGGTGTCCAAATATCTAAAGATATCAATATCTATAGCCTTTTTAAAAAAGCTATTTATGTTGTTTATCATGAACTCAAATCTGCCTCAGGTACTAATAGCATGCATTCTCAAATGAAGATAAAAAGGACAATATGTATCTTTTCAAGCCCATCTACCAACTAAAGAGGAATCAAGATAGAAGTGAGGTCTTACAGGCAATAAATCCTAATTACTGTATGATATGGACATACACATAGGTCATATAAGGGAGAAATGCATTCTTAGTAGTATAGCTTGTCTCTGGCTCATTTAAAGAATCACAACATTATTTAATCATACATTTTGTAGTGAAACATTCTTTTGGCTCATTTCTGGGTTCAAACTGTACAAAGCACTCACGCTGAGGACCAGGATCAAAGATTGCAGAGGACAATGTTGCCTGACAATATTGCAAATTCTCCATTTTTTACCCAAAGTGCACACACTCAGAATATTCATAACAATAAGCCCCTCCTTTCTATTTTGCTTCTTCTAGAAGGCCAATTAGATTTAGAAATAATAATTTTGTCCAAAGCAGTTATTAATGTGAAAGAAAACTGATTAATCTAGGGAATTAAAGCAGATCTAAATTAGAAATTCATTAATCTTAACCAGATAGTAAAGTGAGTTGGGAACCCAAAAAAAGTAGGATGAACAACACTGAATAAAAGAGAATTAACTTTCCTTAACTGTTAAATTGTATCACAAATCCAAGCAGACATACTTATTGTATACCCACTGTACAAATCACCATTTTAAAAAAACCTAGCTCTGTACACCTGGAGTATATTCTTTGTATCTTCCCACACAGAAAACTGGGATAAATGACCCACCTCTTCTTGATCAGCCCTACAATTTCTATTCTTCAAAATATGGTCTATTTTCTTTATAATTTAGACATTGAATGGGGAAAAAAAATAAATGCCTACCAGAATGTTTTAAAGAGCTGACGGTAACAGAAGTGATTTTATATGAAATATTTCATAACTTGTATTATACATGGTAATAAAAATAAAACCTGATATTACTGTAAGAATTAGTATCTGAGAGCATCAGTAGTTTAAAAGTCTTTTAATAAATTTTTCAAATTATGAAATGTAACAACATACTTCTGAAACCATCCTATTATATGTAAAAGCATGTTCTAGGTCAAATGATATTCTCTGCTCTTTCTAGAAGCTTCTAAATGCTCCTAATCCTTTTGAGGACACAAAATACATATCACACTCAAAATTGCATACCATGTCAAGCTTGAATGTTTAGAATTGAATAAAAAGTCATTTGAAGCTTAAACATTAAGCTGGAAAGAGATTTGATAATTGTAAAGTTCAATCTGAAAGACACTGTTTTTCCTCTATTTGTTTTCAGTTTTATAGGGCATCCTGACAGGGCCTTAGTAAGTTTATGTACAGTGCTGTCACAAACTGTGTTCCTCAATACTACATGGGATAAATAATGAAGAACTTGGCATTACTTAAAGAGATGGCCACATATTTCCCCATATATGTCCTGGTGAAGGTAGCATTATAGGGCTAGCTCCCAAATAAATTTCCTTGAAGAAAATGTACATAAAATATATCAATTCCTATTCCAAAAGAGTTGTGTAGTTTGTGAAAATACTCAAGAAGTATAAATTAAGGTTATTGAGAAGGCAATTGGACTATTTTCTGAAGACAGGACTGAGGTATTAGAATTTTAAAACCTTCTTTTTGCAATACTTAACTCTTAGTTATTCATATCAGGGAACATGGCTACTAAGATATTAGAAAAAAATTTTAAATCACACAGATGCAGCTTCTGTATGAGTCTTGTTATGTGCTTCAAAATGGGTTTATCTTATTATGCTAGGAAAATTGCTCCACACTATGAAGAGCCATCGCTGGCACAGCTAGGGAGCTATCTAGTTTCCCAAATTAGACCCCTTAAACTCAGCACCATCCTGTAACTCACTCTTTGTGGGAATACAATCCCTATAGTAAAGCTGTCCTTCAAACCTTTCCTGCAATTGGAGGTAAGGTCAAAGTTGGAAGACTGAGCTTCAGGTGCATGCAAATTAAGAATGAGAAGTGCTGAGCTGCCAACAAACATGTAATTAGCAGGTACTAATTGTGACATCTGAAAGAAAGGTTTGCTGTAGATACAACGTCAAAGTAATAATATATCCAAGGATAATGGAGATGACTGTACTGGAGATTTATTAAAGCATAAGGCCTTTCATTTTTTTCTTTTATGAACAAAAAAGAGAAAGAATATAACATATTTCAAGCTACTAAAGTTCATCCTTTTCTATTAACACTTATTTTTGCTAGTTTTATTGAATGTTTAAGGGCTTAGTTTTAGCGAAATTCTTTTTAGCTCACTTTGCTAATGTCTATAATATAGTAAGAAAAATGGAGAGCAAGGAATATAAAGAAAATCAAAGCAGGTTTTGAAAAGGAAACCTCACTCAGAATGAAAATTTGAAACTACCATTTTAAAACATAGCTGTACTTCTCACATATACCAGTGGTGGTAGCAGACAACACACTAACATATAAAATAGAACATGTATAGGCTAGAAGGAGAAATTATTTACTACAGGAAAAATCTGCTTATTTATTTAGGCATTTATTATGAGACTGAGTGAAATGAGACTGAAAAATCAATCTACTTTAATTTATTCAAAAATTTGAATTATTTAATTTTTTCTTTAAAAAAAATCACTAATTATAACACCAGGAAGTAAGTTAGTCATGACTAAAGAAAACATCAGATCTGTTCCTGTCTGTTTCAATAGAGCAATGACCCCTGAGGGCTGTCAAAAGTGGCTACAATAAAACATAGATTAAAGCTATTCCATATCACATTTTTTGCTTTCCAACCACAAGGGAAAGAAATCTAAACTTTGAGTTTTTGTGTATACTCTAAAACGTTCACATCACTCTTCTATTTAATATGTAATGGGCTTTCAAAAGTTAACCCAGTATTTACACAAATATTTACGCCAAAAAAATAAGGTTTTTTTTTTTAAATATAAAATATTCAATGAGCCAGATTACAGGAATGCTTTACGTATAATTCTTTTTATTTTCATGCAAAATAAAGGCACACTTAATAACACCCTTTCAATTTTGACTTACAGGATTTAAGTTCAACCCCTTATAACAATGACTTAATATCTAATGTTACATTCATGTTCAGAATGCACAAAGTACAGCAACAAATGCAGCAAACCTCAAAACAAGGTGCTACAAAGTTGCTTCTACATCAAAAGACAGACAAGCGTCTGGTAGAGTAATTTAATTTAACATACTTTTACAGACATACAGCTAACCTAAAGAAAGACAGACAGATTTAGGAAAGCAGCTACATCTGCAGAGGAAGAAAACAGCATGTTACAGACAGTCAATTATACATAGAACATTTGACAAACACCACAGAAAACAAACTTTGGCATCATTTACCAGGGTACAAAACCTTGCACAAATCTTTTGGCAAGTGAAGTGCATAAGTAATGTTTGGGGCCCAAGCAGATTGTTAATTCTAAAATTAAGTATCTGAAAATTTAAGCATAGTCTAATACAATTACATAAATTAAAAAAATAAAAAATAAGAAACTTGGAATTACATTTCCATTTTAGTAATATGGATATCCTTGATTGACATTCTGAAACTGGGGCTTTTAAAAGAAAAGGGTGCATTAGACAAACAAAAATAAATATTTAGACATTATGATATGAGCCATGCCCATATCATTTCACTGAAAGCTGAGAGACTGACCATTATTTTCAGTTGAAAGTAATACCCATTCTATAAATTTTCTGCCCTGGTCAGGTTATTAAGCAGACACTCCCTATCATATAGTATTCTGCCTGTGTCAGCTGCTGAGACAGGAACTAAAAAGCAGAAGGAATTCCCTGCATGCATTATGTGTATTGTTAGCAAAAGAGTGAGGTGTGCCCCAGTCCATCTGAGGCACAGCAAGTTGCATAACATCATTACCACTTTGCAGGGTCTGTCGTCCTCCAGCCAACACTCCACTAGGCAACATCCCTGTGGGAGTCAGGCCCTTGAGTGTCAGCACACTTTCACTCTCCTCCCTATAGCAAAGAGACATAACAAACATCAGAGACTTCCAACAAGGGCACTTGGGTGGCTCATTGAGTTAAAGCCTCTACCTTCAGCTCAGGTCATGACCCCAGGGTCCTCGGATTGAGCCCCACATCGGGTGCTCTGCTTGGCAGGGAGCCTGCTTCCCCCTCTCTCTCTGTCTGCCTCTCTGCCTACTTGTGATCTCTGTCAAATAATAAAATCTTAAAAGAAAAAAAAAAAAAAGTACGTAGTTTAAAAGAGGAGATGGGGCCCAGAGGTTAGGCCATGTAAATAATTTATGACATTCAATGTTATTACCAAAAGTATTTTCCTCAAGTCCAAGATACTCTCTTCCTTATTTTAAATGTTTCAGATAAAAAGGTACGCCTTACAAGTGAGGCATATATTGTTTTTCCTAAGAAGCTTTATTAAATATATGATGAGATTGATCATCAATGAGAATAATACAATTGAGAAAATACTTTTTTTTTTTTTTTAATTTAAAGATTTTTGGGGCACCTGGGTGGCTCAGTTGGATAAGCGACTGCCTTCTGCTCAGGTTATGATCCTGGAGTTCCAGGATCAAGTCCCACATCAGACTCCCTGCTAAGCAGGGAGTCTGCTTCTCCCTTTGACCCTCCCCCTTCCCATGCTCTCTCTCTCTCTCTCTCTCTCAAATAAATAAATAAAATCTCAAAGATTATTTATTTATTTGACACAGAGAGACAGAGAGAGAGAGGGAACACAAGCAGGGCACGTGGGAGAGGGAGAAGCAGGCTTCACACCGAACAGGGAGCTCAATGCAGGGCTCGATCCCAGGACCCTGGGATCATGGCCTGAGCCAAAGGCAGATGCTTAATGATTGAGCCACCCAGGCACCCCAAGAAAATATGGTTATTTCTATGGCATAAAGTTCAAATGTCTGATATAACCAGTTTTGCAAATACATTTTTAAGGACTGACCCATTTACGTGCGCCTTTAAACCTAGTCTTCCTGAATTGACCCTAAGAATATTGTTTGTGGGGCGCCTGGGTGGCTCAGTGGGTTAAAGCCTCTGCCTTCAGCTCAGGTCATGATCTCAGGGTCCTGGGATCGAGCCCCACATCGGGCTCTCTGCTCAGCGGGAAGCCTGCTTCCTCCTCTCTCTCTCTGTCTACTTGTGATTTCTGTCTGTCAAATAAATAAATAAAATCTTTAAAAAAAAAAAAAAAAAAAAAAAAAAGAATATTGTTTGTGGCTCCAACAAAAGGAACTTCCTATATGGACGAGTAAGTCCATCAGGCATACTCTAAAAGGTACCCTCTCCTTATCCTACTCTAATTTTCAAGGTGTAGAACTAGTGCTTTCATCACATAAAGGTAACACATATTCAAAGTGAGCAACAGTAATCGCAAGGGTCTAAAACCCTAGTTTCAAAGGGAATTGTGTTCCCCTCTTCACTATGTAAATGTAAAACTAACTTCTTTATAGGAAGAATGTTACTAAATTGCTTTTGGGTGTCTGCTTATAGCAAAGTACAATAAAAGAATTTCTATAAAGCAAATAATCAGGAAAATATATCATTACCTGAGAACAGAGAAGACCCTTGCCATCTTGCCAATTGCTCGAATTTTGTTTCTTATGATTTCTTTCCGGGCTGCAGCTGAACCTACTTTCAATGGAATAAATAGAAAAAAAGACTCAAGTTTAGGGCATCCACACTTGCATCATTCTATTAACCCATACCACGCTCATCTTAACCCATCAAACCCTCTGCCACCAGCTCACATGAAGGAGACTAGGTGAACTCATGCCAGAAAGCCTCTCACTCCTTCAATGTTTAACTTAGCACTGGTCTAATACTGGGGTCTGATACAGATGCAAATGAAAAGTAATCCACAAACATGACTCTCACACTATTGCTAGTCATTAAAACAGCAATGGGAAAGAAACTAGAACTCAACTTGTACCACAAACCAGAGGGGGAAAAAAAGGGTAACAATCCTATAGTCTTTAATTCTCATGAGGGCCTATGCATGCAGACTAACAGACAAGAATTGGTAATAACTCTGTATAGGCTTCTGTTGTAAAAGCCTCTGACATGCAGGCTGGAAATATCCCATCTTACTAAGACAGAGTAAGTTCCTTGTTCAAAGTGGGTTTAAAAACAATGGTATGAGATAACTACTGTGCAGACGACGATGAACTAAGGACCATACCAGCATATCAATTATAATGCACATCTTAACCTCATGGACTAAATGTCCTCAAGATCATGCAAATATATATGTTCTTACATCCCTAGATGAGTATCACAAAAGGAGAGTGAACAATGACAAAAGATTCCCTAAAAAACATGGCCAAAGGATCACTCATGTTTCCTCTTTATAGGGTTAGCTGTACTGCCTATCACCAACACAGAAGAGAATAGAATATAATAACTTGATCTTCAGCAAAAACTCAAAAGTTGTATCTTCCTTCCCCTGGCCTCCAGAAAGAACAATCCCAGTCCTGTTATCTCATATACAGCAACTAGAATCACTCTGGACCCAAGAGTGTGGTTCCTTAGAGCTGTGCTTCAGCATGATGAAAACACACATAGAAGCACCATGGTTGAGGAGAAAGTTAAGGAAAGGCTAAAAAGACTAGACTAAAAGGGGCCGTAGATATACAGAGGTCTGAACAACCGTAAGTTTTCTGGCGTAGAGCATCTCATTGAAAATTCAAGCAGCCCACAAATACCATATAATTAAAAACTAAGATGATGACTGGACCTTACTGCAAGGAAACAGAAAAGAAATCCAATTTCAAAGACGAAAACAGAAGACATATTTTAGAGAAAATAGGCTCCGTGACCATGTTTATGATGCTCCAAAGGGTAATATTATGAGCACTGAAGCTACAGCTCTTGCAAGTTCAAAACTGCGTAGATACTATGGTACTATGCAGCTATTTTTAAGATGCAAAAAAAAAATTACTAAAAGTCCCAGCATCATAGAACATTAGAATTTGAAGAGACATTAGGAATAACGCAAAGTTTAATCTCCTCATTTTAGAGATGGCAAAACTAAGTTTATTAATGGTTTTGTCCAAGGACATAAGGTAAGTCTGATTTCTTTGAATTAATTAACATAAACATTGTTTTAAAATTGATGGAATTTTAAAAATAGCTACACTAGTGGAGAGGAGTATGGGGATAGGAGAGGATGGCTGCAATGAGGTATATTCATATTTTCAGCCTTAATTTATATATCTGTAAAACTGAATAATATGTAAACTGTACTGATTTCAAATTGAAAAAAATCACTGGAATATAAAAACACTATACAAGTCAGGATTTTAAATCAGTCTACAAACATATCATGCATAATAGTAAAGTAAATGTCCACAGTAAAATTACTCTGGGGAATAAGACAGACAATCAAACACCCCTAATCATGCAGGGAAAAGTACAAAACATTACAAATAAGCAAAAGAATGAAATTTTAAAACAAGAGGAATGAAAAAGAGGGAAAAATACTTCCATGCACAGAAAGACAGATATCTTGGAATATGACTTCTAAAAACATCAAATTCTATCTCAGATAGCACTTACACTAAATTTGCACAAGGCCCAAAAGGACTCTGCATAAATGGTACTCAATGAATGTGCTAACTTACATGGACATGAGGATAATTTATGAAGTCATATTTCAAAACAATGTTACTCTGTCTGGTCTGTACCTTTTTTATTGCCATATATGAGCCGTTCTTCAGATGGAGAGTCCAGAAAAAAGGAAGTGAATGATGGAGAAAAGGTGGTTGAGACAAATAAAAAGATAGAGATTTAACTTGGCAGTGGTACTGAAGAATGAATGTAGAAAGAAAGGGAGAAAAATGAAGGCCCTCATATTCGAAATTTGAAAAATGTAGTACTGTAGGATCTGGTGAATAAAAGAGGGATGCCACTGGGTAGGACTCTAAAGGAAAGATTTCTTAAAAGATATGTGGTCAGAAGAAATTATGGACAGAATGACTATAATATTTGATGAAAGTAGACAAATTAGGGACAGAAAAAAAAACACGTGAAAACACATAAGACTGATAAAAGACTGTGCAAACAACAATCGCACATTTATATTGATACCCCTAAGGAAATGTGTCACCCATGGGAGTATGTTAAGTGAAGGGTAATGACACAAATGATATACAAATTCATGTGGTTCTTCAAGGACACCAACATCTGCAAAATCTGTAGTATATACAGAGAAATGTAGGTAACTTTATAAACTACCTCAATGGAAAATCTTACCCACTTAGAATAACAGAAAGGCTAAGCCTCCCACACTCCATAATAACAAGAGCACATAATTTCTTGAATATGAATTGTAGAACTTTTGCACATACTCAGGATCAACAGTATGTGCGTTCGTTCCCAATCCAACGTGGGAGCTGGAGGGACATCTTTTTGCAGAAATAGCAACAGACTGCTTCAAAGCAAGTAATAGCTCTAAGAGTAGGCAGCAGAAATGTTTCATTTAAGCTTTCCATATCTTCCATTCTAGTGCAGAGATACATGATTCCATTACAGGAAATGCAAAGTTTTAGTTTAGTAAAACTGTAACACATGTGGATTCTGTATTTCCTTTACCAAACTCAAGACAAAAGATAAATATCTGAAAGAAACAGTATGCATTCTAAATATCACAGAAATCAGTGTTCAGAAATTTTCTTTAATGATTAAATAATACCTCTAAAAGGAATGCTCTGTGCACTTACACATGCAATGTTTATGCAAATCTTTGCCTTTAAAAATAACTCCACATATATACATTAAACACCACAGAATACCAAGGATCATCACTTAAGAAGAGAGTCTTACTACTTTACCTAATCTCACCTTAAATATGCAAAAACTATTCTTTCCTTCCTGCCACTGGGATATCTCCATTCCTGCTCTCTCCCCTTCCCCACAGAAAAGCTAAACTCTTATTCTGCCTCCACAGCAATACCTATACCACCAAGTTTTCTTTCTAAGTCAGATTTCTCCCTGTGCCCAGCTCATTGGATGGTTCTACTGCAGAACAGGAAAAAAGGAAGGAGAGGACGAAAGGCATGCTATCGTAGTGAAAGGAAAGGAGAAAAGATGTACAGAGTTAAGGGAAAGAAGTATGGGAATGTGGCTAAGGAAGGGAAATAAACCCAGTTCCAGCAGCTCTTTTCCCTATCCCATCCTAGTATCTACCCTAATCTCCTCCCATTTCCTCCATTCCTCAATGGTCTCCCCCAAGCCATTCCCATTCCTCCATACAAACTCCCAGATTCATATTCTTAAAATTTTCTTGGAGTATCTACTTCTAATATTTGGTATGGAAGGGTGAAGAAATGAGGAGTAATTATACCTGCTATGTTGGCAGTGAAGGGAGATCTATTTCTAGTATTCAAAGCTGGAACTCAGTGTATTTTCACATAGAAACACTGTCATAAATGACAGCTTACCAAATTTTAAAATTAATTCCTTTCTACTCCTTCAATCCATGGATGAAAAGACCCTGGGAAGTTAAGTTAACTTCTCCCAAGATTACACAGCTACAAAATCTCTTTAATGATCAAACTTAATTCATCTTTGGAGCGCAAGAATGATATAACAAGTGGATAAATAAGCATAATTTATCATTGAGAGGAAAATGTTAATTAGATACATAAAATCTCATTTGGAATGTAGTAAAATTTTATACATATTCCTGGTTGAATCCCAAAAGTGATTCAGCCCCTGTCCTTGTATAAATCCTAAGTATCTAAACCAAATATAACAGACTTAACAAGGAAATTTTTTTTTTATAGGAAGAGGACTAAAGCATTACCTGTCATTACTACTTAAAATACATTTTTAAAAAATTACTATTAATGATATTGATACAAATTTTTAAAAATTAAAAAATAAAAGTAAAATGTAGAAAAATAAATAATAGTATCAGCCTTATGCAAATGACATTTTTAAAAGTTAAGGAAAACTAAATAAAAATTACTGTAGGAAATAATTCTGCTGATCCAAGCTGTCATAAGATAAACCCACAAATATATAATATATACCTTACACACAGAATATATATTAAGAGACACCAGTTGTAATAATATAAGGATATAAAATCCTATAGTATTAATTTAACTTGACAATAACAGATTTTTTCAGAGAAAAACTATGTGATTTTTAAATGGAATAACTGTACATTAAATATATTAAATGTAGTAATTATAGTAGATGAACTAATTATATAGAGCAAGAGATCTTGATCTCACTTTAGAGAAGTAAATATTAAAACAAAACTTCCTAGTGCTCGCTTCGGCAGCACATATACTAAAAACTGGAACAATAAAACAAAACTTCCTAGATGCAGATATGGATTTAATGAGATACCAATTAAAACTACTACTTGATATTTCACAGAATTTGACATATAACAGAAAACTTTATCTGAAGAAATAAGTAAACTATGAACCAAAAATTATATCAGTCATTATATCAACACCTGTAAGATTATGAAGTAGGTACTATTATCTTCATTTTGAAGATAAAAAAAATAAAACTCAGAAGCTAAAAAATTTGCCTGAGGTCATATAACAACTATGAGAAACTAGAGTCTGAACCCAGACCTAGTCTAACAAGAGAAAAGGGAAAAGGTGGCAGGATAGGGAAAAAGTATTTAACTGCAACTACTTAAAAATTTTATGTAAAAGACAAATACAATGAAATATGGTAGAGCTAAAACTTCCACACAAACAAAAGGAGAACGAAAATAAAAAAATATTATTCATTAAGGCCTATTATCGAAACCAAAAACGAATGGATATAATTTATTTCAGTTAACAAAACTGTAAGCCAGAGTAAAAGCATATCTTTGCTTGCCACCAACAGATGGCAGTAGCAGACACTTGTACAGTCACTTTGTACTTTTAACAAATGGGTTTACAGAAGTGTTTAAGAATTAAACCTGTTTGCAAGCAGAGAAATTTCTAAATAGCTTTTACTCAGATCTTACTTAATTAAGTAATCAAATAAGATATACGTTTATACACTTGAAAAAGTAGACAGTAATTTTTTTAAATTAAAAATCATTAGAAAATCAAAGAAATCTTAAGTTAAACCAAGTGTAGTTCACTACTATGTAGCTACCAAGCAAAATAAGTAAAAATGACCAAAACCCAATGAGATAGGACTGTGGAGAAAGAGGTCAACGGATTCATTGCTAAAAGTACTTCATATTGGTCCAATTCTTCTACAAAGTAATCTGGCAGTTCATAGCTAAAATAAGGAAGCTAAAACACATATTTAAGTCCATAATTCTCTTCAAGAAATTTATCCCAAGAAAAAAACTATTGTACAAACATATGCATTGCATGCTATTCATAATAAGGACAACTGAAAGCAACAACGCAAATGCCAAAAACATGACATTAACTATGAAAACTATGGTATATTAATATACTTAGAAATATGTAGCTATTAAGTTGTACCAAAATGTAGACCATGTCTAATATATGGAAACAATTACATACTGATTACAACTATGAAAAGAATGCTGCAACAAAGATGTGAGCGACATATAGAAGGAAATAAATAGTTCTCAGCTTTAAGATGTTTACATTTTTGTTTCTCAATGACATTTAAAAGTTTAAAGTTTAAAAAATATTTAAAAAGTTTTAAAGTTTTAAATAAAAATTTCAAGACATAAAAATAAAAGGAATTTTGTTTTTATGGTATTAAATTATACTATAAATGTACATCAGTGCACTGGTTGGCTTACAGAAGAGCAAACAGCCATATCTAACCTTGTTTCTATGGAAAAGATGCTTCTGAAAATCCAATTAAACCAGTAAGTGGTCTTGTAGAACACAACCACTCATAGGTTGGGAACAGCCTACTTTAGTTTTTGGGAAAAAACAGTGAAAACAACTCTGGGGGTTCTGGTATGTTTCTGATGCACTAAGAAGACTGCACCAATGAAACAAAAAGCATTTTTATTCTCCCTCTAAGCAGTGTCCATATTCATCAAGAACCACATTCTTTAGTACTTTCAATTTTCCTTTCCTTCTGTTCTTCCAAACTTCCCTTTTCCCAAAATTCATCTTCCCCACACCAACAGAAAAAAGGTAAAATCGCTAAGAAAAAATCTTAAACAGTATCTAAAAAAGTGTCTTGACTCTTATCAACTGGCATAGCCATTTGAGAACAATGACTACATTTCATCGCAAAAGAGTGTGTATTGAAGCTGGGCAGTTAAAAGATACCATTTCACAATAAAAAATAGTAAAATGAAAAATCATACCATCAAACTGGTCTTCACCTTCAGTCATCAGTTCATCATCAGAGCAAATACTCAGAACATTTACCAACATTTCTGTCACTATTCAAAAATGAAAAAAGAAAAAAGAACAGTTACAAGTTAGTGGACCAAAATCAACTGTCTCTAAGTACACATACCAATTATTCATACAATGGTCAATAATTTTTAACCCAAGAAGACATACATTCTGATAGCAAGAATGAAGAAACTAAAAAAAAAAAACCAAGGTTTGGGGCATGTGGGTGGCTGAAGTCAGTTAAGCATCCAACTCTGTTTTGGCTCACATCATGATCTCAGGGTCTCTCTCTCTTTTTTTTTTTTTTAAAGATTTTATTTATTTATTTGACAGAGAAAGAGACAGATCACAAGCAATCAGACAGGCAGGCAGATGGGGAGAGGGAAGCAGGCTCCATGCTGAACAGAGAGCCCGATAGGGGGCTTGATCGGAGGACCCTGAGATCATGACCTGAGCCGAAGGCAGAGGCTTAACCCACTGAGCCACCCAGGCACTCCTCGGGGTCTTGAAATTGAGCCTAAAGTTGGGCTCCAAGCTCAGCATGGAGTCTACTTGGGATTCTTTCCCTCTTCCTCTCCCTCCCTCTCTGCCCTTCCCTCTGTGCTCACGTGCTCTCTTTCTCTCTCAAATAAATAAAATCTTTAAAAAAAAAAAAAAAAAAAACAAGGTCTTAAAAATGAAAGAAATTCAATGGATTACAAGTCTTAGAGAGATTCTACACAAAAAATGAAGCCCCCCAGACATGAATAACATCAAAATGTATACATTTAAATTCTTCATCTATGGATACAGCATTTCCTTACAGAGTAAGAAAAAAGTCACAGCACAGTTTCACTGTTTCAAAAAAGCCCTAGAATTATTATTATTACTATTTTTTTAAGAGCAAGAGCATGGGTGGGGAGGGTCAGAGGGAGAAGGAGAGACGAATCCTAAGCAGGCTCCACTTTTGGTGTGAAGCCAGATATGGGGCTCAGATCTCACAACCCTGGGATCATGACCCATCAGATGATTCATCAACCGAGCCACCCAGGAGTACCCAGAATTCAATTTTTTAAAAACTGACTCTAGCAGGTCCCCTAAAACTTAATTCTTAAGATTACTAATGACTAACAACCTGAACCCGTGGTTCGTTCTTAGGTTTACTCCTTTACCATTCTATGTATTTTTCCCTTCTGTTTTCCCTTAGTTTGCAGGGTTCTACTCTTGGTTTTCCTACATTTCAGACTATTTCCCCCCTAAATTTAGATATTCTCAAGACTCTCTCTCCACAGTCTTTTGGTGATTTTATATGCTCATTCTCCTGGCCATTCCATCTGTAACTATACAGTTTCAAGTATCACCTTTGTGAAGATGATTCCGAAGTCTATATCACTAGTGTTGACCTCTCCTTCAGTCTCCGGATTTCCCTGATGGTTTTATTGCTAACCATCTTCAGCCATTTTATATTGCTTGTTTCTCCTACTAAAATGAAAGCTTCATAAATGCAGTATGATGTTTTGTTTACTATTGTACCTCAGAGTCTAATACAGTGACTGATAGACAACAGGCATCCAATAAATATTTGACAAATGAGTATTTTAAAAAAGAAAGGTATAAGCAAGTTTCATTTAATAAATAAAAATGCCTATTAAATATTAGCCCCTGGATGTCCTAATGATACCTAGAAATGAACACATCCAAAACAAAATTCAATACTGCTCCTATTATTCCTCCTATAAATATATTAATAGCACACCACATGCCAGGCACTGTACTGAAGCTCTGGAAATCAGATACAGAAGGTCCTGTCTCTACCTTGCAGAACTTTACTAACTACTAAAGGAGTTATTTATATGCAGATATATATATGCACACACACACCACAGTAAAGTGATAAACCCTATACTATAAAAATGCAGTTATACAAAAAGACCTATAAGGAAAAGGAAGGCTTCTCATAGAGGAATCATGCAATGGGAGTTTGTCAGGTGGAGAGGGCAGATAAGGCTTTCTAATCATAAGTTAGAAAAAGTATGAAGTAGTCATTATAAATCAATGGAACAGAACTAAGAGTCCAAAAATAAAACCTCACGTTTTAATTCAACTGATTTTCAACAAGGGTTCCAAAACAATTCAGTGTGGGAAAAAACAGTCTTTTCAACAATTGGTGCTGGGACAACTGAATATTCACATGCGAAAGGATGAAGCTGAACCCCTCACTATACATCATATACAAAAATTAACTAAAAATGAATCAAAGACCAGAGAACCTGAGTGGTTTAGTCGATTAAGTGTCCAACTCTTGTTTTCAGATTAGCTCAGGTCAAGATCTCAGGGTTGTGAGGCTGAGCCTCATATCTGGCTCTGTACTGGATATGGAACCTGCTTGGGATTCTCTCTCTCCCTCTCCATCTGCCTCCCAGCCTCACCCTCCCAACTGTCTCTCTTTCCCTCAAAAACAAAAACAAAAACAAAAAAGATCAAAGTCTTACATATAAAAGTTAAAACTATAAAAGTCTTAGAAGATATCATAGAGGAAAATCATTAGTTTGGATTGGACAACAGTTTATTAAACATGACCCCCAAAACACATGCAACAACAACAAAAAATAAATTCATCAAATTCTGAATGTGGAATTCATCAAAATTTAAAACTCTTATGCTTCAAAGGACACCATCAAGAAAGTGAAAAGACAACTCAAGGAACAAGGAGAAATACTTACAAATGATATATCTTATAAGGAACTTGCATCTAGAATACACAAGGAACTCTTACAATTCAGTGATTAAAAAAAAAAAGGTGAGATAAAAAGAAAACCACTTTAAAAATAAACACAAGATTTAAATGAATGTTTCTTCAAAGAAAATAAACAAATGGCCCATATACTTCAAGGCTATGATAATCAAACAGAATGGTACCGGCACAAAAAAGACATACAGACCAATGAAACAGCATAGAAAGCCTAGGAATAAATCCATGCTTATACTGTCAATTAATCTATAAAAAAATGAGACAAGAATACACAATAGAGAAGACTGTCTCTTGAATAAACGATGTTGGGAAAACTGGAAAGCTACATGCAGAAAAAAAAAAAAAAGAAACTGGACCTCTTTTTTATACCATATACAAAAAATAAGCTCAAAATGGATTAAAGACCTAAAAGACAGACCTGAAACCATAAAGCTCAAAGAAAATAGCCGGCAAACTCTTAGAGATTGGCCTTAGCAATATTTTTCTGGTTCTTTCCTCAAGCAACAGAAACAAAAGCAAAAATAAACAATCAGGACTGTAGCAAACTAAAAAGCTTTTGCACAGTGAAGGAAACCATCAACAAAATGAAAAGGCAACTGGAACGCCTGCATGGCTCAGTCATTTGGGCATCTGCCTTCAGCTCAGATCATGGTCTCAGGGTCCTGGGATCAAGTCCCACATGGCGGGGGGGGGGGGGTGGGGGGGGGGGGGGGTGGTGGTGCTGCCCAGCAGGGAGCCTGCTTCTCCCTCTCTAGCTCCCCCTGCTTGTGCTCTCTCTCTCTCTGACAAACAAATAAAATCTTTAACAAAAAATGAAAAGGCAACCTACTGAATGGAGAAGATATTTGCAAATGATATATCCAATGAGAGGTTAATATCTAAAATATATAAAGAACTCATACAACTCAACACCAAAACCCCAAACAATCCTATTAAAAAATGGGCAGAGGACTTGAATAAATATTTTTCCAAAAAAGACATACAGATGGCCAACAGACACTTGAAAAGATGTTCACAATCGCTAACCCTCGGGAAATACAAATCAAAACCACAATGAAATATTACTTCACACTAGTCAGAAAGGCTTGTATCAAAAAGATAAGCAGCAAGTATTGGCAAAAATGTAGAGAAAAGGGAACTCATGCACTACTGGAAGGAATGCAAACTGGTGCAGTCACTATGGAAAACAGTATGGAGATTCCTCAAAAAATTAAAAATATAAATACTATATGATCCAGTAATTCTATTTCTGAGGACTTACCTGAAGAAAACAAAAACACAAATTCAAAAAAAATATGTACTCTTATATTTACTGCAGCATTATTTTAAATAGCCAATATATAGAAACAATCTAAGTGTCCACTGATAGATGAATGTTTAAAGAAGATGTGGTATGTATACCCAGTGAAATATTACTCAGCCATAAAAAAGAATGAAATCTTGCCAATGTGGAAATCTTCTCCAACATGGATAAATGTATGGGATGTTATGCTAACTGAAATAAGTCAGACAGAAAAGACCAAATATCATGCTATTTCACTTGTGCATAGAATCTAAAAAACAGAAAGAGACTCATAAATACAGAGAAGAAACTCATCACTGGCAGAGAGGGGATGGGGCATAGGCAAGATAGGTGAAAGGGATTAAGAAGTACAAACTGCCAGTTATAAAAGAAGTAAGTCATAGGGATGAAAAGTACAGCATAGGGAATATACTCAATAATATTATAATAGCTTTGTATGGTGACAGGTAGTTAACTATATTTATGATAAGCTTTTCATAATGTATATAATTGTCAAATTGTCAAATCACTATGCTGTACACCCGAAACTAATATAATATTGTATGCCAACTATACTTCAATTAAAAATTATTTTTCTAAAAAAAAAATTCTTTTTCTAATAAACACATTATTTAAATAAACATTTCTTCAAAGAAGATAAGCAAATGGCCAATAAGCACATACAAATATACTCAATGCCATTATTCATTACGGAAATGCAAATCAAAACCATGAGATACAACTTCACATCTAATATGATGGCTATAATAAAAAATACACAATTACAAATGTTGGCAAGAATTTGAAAAAAATGGCACTGTTGTGCAATGCCAGTGGGACTATACAGCTGCTCTGAAAAACAGACCTCAAAAGGTTAAACATAGAGTTACCATGTGACTCCCAGTTCTACACATAAGAAAATAAACACATGTTCAAACAAAAATTTGTACATGAATGTTCATTGCAGCATTATTGATAATAGTTAAAAAGTGGAAGTAATCAAATGTTTTGCAGATAATGAATGGATAAAC